AAGTTGTTGCGTTGATGATCGTGTGTTATTTCTCTAATTGCATTAGTTTGTTTGTCTCAATTGTATCATCTCTACAAGTATAATATAAGAAAACTTTCATATTTAAACATATAAGGAGATTAATTTCTACGATTTTATACTGATTAGACAATTTAAACCTTAGTTAAGTAGGCCCATTATTAAGTAGGCCCATTATTAAGCTTCAGCTAACCGGGTCTCTTATTGTACTTCAGCTAATCAGGTCCCTTATTGTACTTCAGCTAATCAGGTCCCTTGTTGAACATTAGGTAATCAGGTCCCTTGTTGTACTTCAGCTAATCAAGTTCCTTATTGTACTTCAGCTAATCAGGTCCTTTGTTGTACATTAGGTAATCAGGTCCCTTGTTGTACTTCAGCTAATCAAGTTCCTTATTGTACTTCAGCTAATCAGGTCCCTTGTTGTACTTCAGCTAATCAGGTCCCTTGTTGTACTTCAGCTAATCAGGTCCCTTGTTGTACAATAGGTAATCAGGTCCCTTGTTGTACTTCAGCTAATCAGGTTCCTTATTGTACTTCAGCTAATCAGGTCCCTTGTTGTACTTCAGCTAATCAGGTCCCTTATTGTACATTAGGTAATCAGGTCCCTTGTTGTACTTCAGGTAATCAAGTTCCTTATTGTACTTCAGCTAATCAGGTCCCTTGTTGTACATTAGGTAATCAGGTCCCTTATTGTACATTAGGTAATCAGGTCCCTTATTGTACTTCAGCTAATAAGGTCCCTTTTTGTACATTAGGTAATCAGAACCACTAAATATCACGTGACAATTTCACGTTTTGGTGAGAAGGTTATTATTTAAATATTCTAATACTAACAGCTTCTTTTCTTATTTAATTGCCACAACAGCCACATGTTTTTGCTCGTACGGAAGACAACACCACAGTCATTATAGATCTGACTCACAATTTAACTAAGCCTTACGGTTATAAAAAAAACGTAAAGCAAGTATATTTGGTGATAGCTGCTTTATCAAGAACGAAATTAAAATCTGCAGTTTAGAATTACAAACCGAAGAAACAACAATTACAATTGTATTCATGTACTTATTGTTATAAAACTACTGTTATTACGTTACTGTTCTTTCCAAGTTTTTAAGAAAAGTGTTTTAAGTCCCGATACTAAAATTATAACTTATAGCGTCAGTTTCCACTAGCTTGGGTAGAAGAAAGAAAAGCACTTAAAGTGGCCCATCTGGTGGTACATTTTTCTTAGATTAGTTGCACCACGAGACTGATGAGCTTCAGAAAATCAATGAAAACAAAACTGAAACCTGAGGGTTAATAAGACAAGCCTAATGGACTTCCGCTGATGTGAAATAATTAAACAACATTTGATCTCATCATCGTTATTAGAAAATCGACTCCACCGCTCTTTACGATCGAAAAGATAATTACCTCTTTTCCCGATAATTACATGGCTTTATTAAATCAAAAATTTTCAGTCAATTGTTGGTTTAATTCCTGTAGATAACCTTTCAATTCTCCTTTATGTTGCAGCTCTCGGAGGTCAAACGGAAATGTCTTTCGAGCCGGAGTTTGCCGAACCGATTCCGAATATAACGGTGTCAGCAGGGAGGGACGTCAGTATTCCGTGTGTCGTGGATCATTTGGGTTCATACAGGGTAGGATGTAGAGGCAGAGTTTTTGTTGTTTGTTCTAAATATCGTTAATTATAATGTGTTTGTTGTTAAGCACAAACAAACTATATTGGCTATTTCTGCTGTACCCACCACGGGTATCGAAACTTTATTTTTATCATCATAACGGTAATTATAACTACACAAATTCAAACAAGATTGTACTGTCTATGTGTTTCCCTGTATTTGGGTGTGTTTAGGGGGCTAGAGGGAGGTAGTTTTATTCTATACATGATTTTTAAATACCCTATTTCACTTTCTCTGTGTTTCCCTGTATTTGGGTATGTTTAGGGGGCAAGAGGGAGGTAGTTTTATTCTATACATGATTTTTAAATATCCCAATTTCACTTTGTATGTGTTTCCCTGTGTTTGGGTGTGTTTTAGGGGCTAGAGGGATGTAGTTTTATTCTATACATGATTTTTAAATATCCCCATTTCACTTTCTATGTGTTTCCCTGTGTTTGGGTGTGTTTAGGGGGCTAGAGGGAGGTAGTTTTATTCTATACATGATTTTTAAATACCCTATTTCACTTTCTCTGTGTTTGGGTGTGTTTAGGGGCTAGAGGGAGGTAGTTTTATTCTATACATGATTTTTAAATACCCTATTTCACTTTCTCTGTGTTTGGGTGTGTTTAGGGGCTAGAGGGAGGTAGTTTTATTCTATACATGATTTTTAAATACCCTATTTCACTTTCTCTGTGTTTCCCTGTGTTTCGGTGTGTTTAAGGGGCTAGAGGGAGGTAGTTTTATTCTATACATGATTTTTAAATACCCTATTTCACTTTCTCTGTGTTTCCCTGTGTTTCGGTGTGTTTAAGGGGCTAGAGGGAGGTAGTTTTATTCTATACATGATTTTTAAATACCCTATTTCACTTTCTCTGTGTTTCCCTGTGTTTGGGTGTGTTTAGTGGGCTAGAGGGAGGTAGTTTTATTCTATACATGATTTTGAAATATCTCCATTTCATTGCTCATGATTCAAAAGCAAGTTAATTATTAATTAAAAATTAATAATTAATAATTAATCAAAAGCAAGTTAATTATGACTTATTAATTAACGAGACACATCGTGGCAGTGTTAAGATAAAAAAAAGTTAATTCTATTATTCGGTTTGGCGACAACGTATTATTGTTTTATCTTTATTATTTACAAATAATACAAATCACGAAGTGAACGGAACTCATTGATTGGATAGCAGGTTATCGTTGCTTCTACTTGGATGCTTAATTATGATCATTTATCTACCAATATAGACGTTTGTTTTCAATTATAAACGTTAACGATTTCATTAAGTGTAAATAATCTGGTACCTAGTGCGCCAAACAGTATCGATTTATGGTACCTTGATCCTGTCGAGTGTTTACTATAAACTGTGAAATATTACCATCCACTCCTAAACTCCCTCTGTCTATATATAATTTTTAAAGGAGTCTTATTTCTCCTCCGTTTACAATACCCCCCCCCCCCAGTGGCACAGCGGTACGTCTGTGGACTTACAACACTAGAAACCGGGTTTCGATACCCGTGGTGGGCAGAGCACAGATAGCCCATTGTGCTAAATTATAAACAATACTGTTTATAAAAGCTATCTTTTGGAGACTTAATCGTTGCTTTCAATTTATTAAAATTAATATTTTGTGCTTAGCCAGTTAATAAGTCCTTTTTTTACATAAAATCTACATGTATAAGTGAAACCCAAAATGTTTGATTATTTGTTATTAAGCATAAAGCTAACTGTGTTGTGCTCACCACGGGTATCAAAACCAGGTTTTTTAGCGTTATAAGCCTTCATGTTTACAGCTAAGCCACTGGAGATGTAAACAAAACAGATACAAGTTTTGTCCAACAGAAGAAACATATTTAACTTCACGTTTAACAACAACGTCTCTGATACAGATACAAGTTTTGTCCAACAGAAGAAACATATTTAACTTCACGTTTATCAACAATGTCTCTGATACAGATACAAGTTTTGTCCAACAGAAGAAACATATTTAACTTCATGTTTAACAACAACGTCTCTGATACAGATACAAGTTTTGTCCAACAGAAGAAACATATTTAACTTCACGTTTAACAACAATGTCTCTGATAATTTTTCGTTTGCTTTTTATCATTATTGTTTTATAACTTACCGTTGTCTGTGTGATATATCTTGATACTGAGACGTAACTAGATTGTAATGCTTGGATACATAAATATCATTACGGATCCAAATATGGGTTTATGTGTATTTTCAGGTATCTCTGTGTTATTACGAAGCTAAATTTTTATATTTTATTTGATATTGGTACGTTTCTAAATATTTTTATACATGTAAATATCTGATGTTTCTTGATATTGGTATGTCTAAATAGTTTTATACATGTAAATATCTGATGTTTCTTGATATTGGTATGTATAAATATTTTTATACATCTAAATATCTGATGTTTCTTGATATTGGTACGTTTCTAAATATTTCTATACATCTAAATATCTGATGTTTCTTGATATTGGTATGTCTAAATATTTTTATACATCTAAATATCTGATGTTTCTTGATATTGGTACGTTTCTAAATATTTTTATACATCTAAATATTTGATGTTTCTTGATATTGGATATTTTTTCACGTTAGAACTGATAATGTGTTTATTTACACAGAGATCTGTATCTAGATATTTTATACACATAAGTATCTGATCTTTCCGGATATTGTTTCACATAAGAACTGATAATGTGTTTATTTACACAGAGATCTGTATCTAGATATTTTATACACATAAATATCTGATGTTTCTTGATATTGTTTCACATAAGAACTGATAATGTGTTTATTTACACATAAGTCTACAACTATATGCTTTTGTTATTCAGTTATTAAGTTATCTAAATCTGTCTGTTATAGTTACACATGAAGTGATTTGTATTTATCTTACGGAGTTAGATATTGGTGTCATGTAGGCAGGCACCGCTACATAAGCCTATGTTTTGACACATAATATAGATATTATGCTAGAACTGACAAAGATACTAACTTTCAACGAAACGAATAATATTTAGGACATTATGTGAAATATTAAGTTCAAAATAAAAGCGATACGCACATATAAAGTAGAAACGAGAAATATATTACATTCTAAAGAACACTTTTATGTAATAATACTTTCGGTTATCCGAGAAGGAAGAACTTTGACGTAGCTTGTAGTCTTCGAATTGCTCGGAACCAAGGGTGTTGCAGTCACATCTGAACTGTCAGTTGTTGCTATATTATTTACGTGTTGTGCCGAAGGTGTTGCAGAAGAAAGAAAACTCCTTGTTCTTCACCATAATGAGAAACACAAAATGCACGTTCAACCACAATTGCTAAGATACGTTATTTTTAAGCCTAACGTCATATTGAAATAAGGAAGGATCTGATATATCCAAACTCGGAGTTTTAATTTAATTTAACATCTCCAACTTCTAGAACCATGATAAATAAGAAGGGCCAGAAATGATTCTAAATTAGTTATATATATATATATATCGTTATCGGAATTTTTCTCTGGTTAAATCTAGTTTAAGGGTTTAGTGATGAGTTAGAAATAAAGTCAAATCTAAACAACCGAGCATCCAGAATTAAAGAACAATAAAACAAGTTCCAAACAATATAAAAGTGAAAAGTAATCTGGAACATACATCATCCTACGTCAACCTGTTGACTAGGATGCGATGATTGTTACTATGACAACAAGTCATTTATGCTTTTATTGTTAAGCCTAACGTCATATTGAAATAAGGAAGGATCTGATATATCCAAACTCGGCGTTTTAAGTTAATTTAACATCTACAGCTTCTACAATATTCTCTAGAACCATGCTAAATAAGAAGAGCCAGAAATGATTCTAAATTAGTTTTATATATATATATATATACCTGATGAAAGTTAAATAAAAATATAAATATTTGGTTCACTTACTAACATATGTAGTGCATTTCTATTGATTTTCAAACCGAAGTCTGCCAACTGAGTTATTTGTGGCTGAAATAGTTGTGTGTACCTTTAATTGCATATCTTATAGCCCCCCCCCCCAGTGACTAACCGGTGACTTATACTCGTTGTTGGCATAGTAAAGATAGTCCATTGTGTAGCTTTGTGCCTACCTAAAAAGAAACTTATTATTTCTAAGGTATAACTTAGGCTTAGCTGAAGTTTCCTTTTTTCATCAGATGACCATATTTGGAATATTTTCATCTGGACCTGGCGGAATAGTTGACATTTTTAAATTATAAAGAAAAAACTCCGAGATGTCAACAGTCGAGACCAAGATTAACACGTGGAAAACTACAACAAAGCATTTACGCTAACCACTGAGAATGATCAAACCATTTAGAAGAACATCTTGGCAAAATATGTTTAATATACGTCACGCTTCACGTTATACGATATGAATAAACTGATGAATTAATCTGTTGTGCAAGCTGGAGATAACAACATCGTGCTGTTATAAACACCATTAACTAGATAGTATACCTGTCACGATGTGTTTTAGTCTTGATCTATAAAGTACTTGCTGAAAGTTTCATCACAGTTTGTCCTACAAGAAACTTAAGTTTTTATTGCAGTGTTACACAGGATCAAATGTTTTCATCGTTGAGTTAAAAATTAAGTTACTTCGCTCGTGGTGTCATGCAAATTCGCCACGAGACAATTAGCGCTCAAAACTTTTTATCTACGAGTATACGTAAATGGAGCCAAGTATTTATAGAAGTCTTCACTTTTATAACGCCCCCCAGTGGCACAGCGGTATGTCTGCGGACGTACAATGCAAGAAACCGGGTTTCGATACTCGTGGTGGGCAGAGCACAGATAGCCCATTGTGTAGCTTTGTGCATTACCTAAACAAACAAACACTTTTATAGAAGTTTACAAGCTGGATGTGTGTTAAATAGTGGTTAGTAAGTTTTAAAATAAACTGGAGTTGAGTTTTATAAAACGTATCTCTGGTGGTATATTGTTGAA